TGCAAATGTAATTTTTATATATTTGAGTTAAATACATCATTATTCCATTTTCCTTCATTCCCTCTCAAACTGCATGAATTCCCAAAGTAAACAGCTTTTCATGCAGTCACAATTTTTTGCTGTGGCACGGGATAGAGTTTTTCCCTTGATTTTCTTTACCAGCCTCCCTATATCACGACATGATTATAAGGATTAGCTAATGCTTATTCAGAATTCAGAAGCCGTGGCAAACTATGAGAACTATGAATAAAAGGAATTTTTAAAATGTAACAGTTATCAGTAATTTTAAATAGGTTTATTGACTGTACTTCAGTCACAGAACAGAATTCTTATGATAAAGATGAACAGGGAATGACCATCTAAACTGCCACTCATTCATTTGTTGGCCATATTTTTCATCCCTTACACAAAAAGAGTCTTTTGTGGATATTATGTTGCATTTCTGGGTGATACTTCATTGTATGTATATCACTGCTAGAAGTGTTCAGATCAGAACCTCCTCAGACTGTCAATAAACCTGGAAAAGCCAACCCCTATTCTGGACCTTTATGTAGGAAAACACAGTAAAAAAATCTTCAAGGACATTAGTGGAAAACATGTCCAGCAATCTTATGATTAGGGTTTGTGAATGGAATTTGACCATTTATACCAATAAATCTTCCTCCATCAGCCTTAAATTGTGCAGCTTTACAGATTAAATGTAAGAAAACTCTTTTTTGTTTTTCCAGTTGGTTAATACATTGACAAATTGTGTCATATAATCATGACATCGTGTCACTTAGTATTGACAGAAATTATTTATTTCTGCAAAGGGAACTATTACGACTATATAATTATAAGTCCACTTTTAATTACCTTCTTAGCTTAGTTTTGAAGTCTCATCTCTCAACCTTGAAATCTCTGTCTGGTTTTAACTGTGTTTTTGGTGTTTCTTTCTGTTTTTTTGTTTTGGGTTTTTTAACTTATTTTTTCTTTACACAGACTTGGTGTGATTACTTAAAATACTTTTAGTTTATACATTTTACAAGGTGAAAAGTGATAGCAAATTCAGTAACTTTTATTTAATAATTTTGTTTTACTTGCATGGTAGAATCTTGTGGATAAGTAAAAATTACAGAGATTTAAAACTTGTGGTTCAACATCTACATTTCAGAGGCATATAGACTTCCTTTCCAGGATCTACTGCCTGCACGTTAAGTGCTCTGCCCCAGAAAACTCCAGAAAACTGTGAAGGTACTCTCACATAGCTGGTGTCACACTGAGATGCTGACAATGTTCCCATTCCCACAAGAGGGCACTAGGCACGGGAAAATCCCTTCACATTCATTAATATCAACCTTATAGTTCATCTCTACTTCTTAATCAGTGGTAGTACTATAATGCATAATATCAAATGAAGCCACTTTTACGTCTACTACACAAAGAAGTTACCTTTTAGCCAATTTGTTCTCATAATTACCTACATTTAAACTTCAGTTTGTTTTATTTCACCTGTGTCCAGAGAGGTGAAGTGCTTTGCTATCACAGTTGTAAATCGATGTTCTATTCTATTGGCTATGTGTGGACCCTTTTCACACAGGAAATTCACACAGGCCAAATGAAGCACTTTCTGAAGCAAAGAAGACAAAATATTGATTATACATCTAGAAATCTTCCTGGTTTCATGTGTGCTGTTCCCCTTTTCAGACTGATCCATCTATTGCAGCAACCAGGATCTGCCTCGTTCATCCTCTTCAAGCTGCTCCAGCCCTAATCATCCTGGCATCACCTGGCACAGAGCGTCTGCTCTGGTGGGGGTGACATTGCCTTGCAAATGATCTCAGTGTAGCTTGCCTGATCTTACGCTCTGTCTACCCAACCAGCATAAAACTTCTGCAGTTGTGAGACTCCTGCACAAAGAAAGATCCTCTTCAGCAAAAGTGGGATTTAAAGCTGGTTTTCCCACATGGAAATTCTTTACTTCAGAGGGAACAAAAAAAGTTCTTTGTGAAGGAGGAATTGTCTTTCTGGCTGTAAGTTGAACCTAAAAGAGGCAACCTTTATAATTAAGGATTTCTAATCAGTGTTTGTCTTATTTTCAAGATAATTATGCCACTGGGATTCTATGTTCTGGGAGAAGAGTTTGTTTCAAAGTAGTTACATGGATTTGTAATCCTACGGTTCTAAAACTGCTGTGAACTGTGTCTAGTTGACGTCACCTGTGCACAAACAGGTCCCTGTTTTCTTCTTATAGAAGTGAGCTATTTCAGCAATGTTTAGTCAACTGTTACTGACTGACCTTCTCAAATCCACAGATTCATTTCCAATAATATTTAACTACTGTTTTCTAAAGCCAAAGGTTCACAGCATGTGAACTACTACTTTTAATCTTTTACTGTCTTTAAATCTTACTTTGATTTTATAGTTACCAAACAGCATGGTTGCTGAAGAGATGCATGGCTTGTCTACCCTCAATTAATTTGATATTAATTAATTGATGTTAAGTCAGCTTTCTATACTAATTCTGGAATTCCACAAATGACCAATGTATGCATACATTCTAAGGCCAGGCATTTGGAGGTGGATTCATTTTAATGTTCTATTGAGTTGCCTCAAATACAGAAGATTAAGGACATGCTATATAGGCTTTATCTCCTTCCCCACAGTAGAAATGCACATCTGGATGGACTTGTATGAAACCAGCACACTTTCAAATGATTGAAATTTCATTTCTTCTTTTTACCTGGCTTCCATAGTGGGAATGGAGGAGTAAAACTAATCCCACTAATCTCACAAACCCCAAAAGTTCTGAGATAAAATCTCATCATCAACTCAAGGATGATACGCCTTCCCTGTAGGATGGAAGAGGTTAGTTATTCTCAGGCATAGACATCTAAACCTTAGGTATATTTTGAACTGATCTTGACTATTTTATACTGAAGTGAAGCTCGTCCTGCAGATTACTGATGTACTTGTTAGACTCTTCACATTTAAGGCAAATTGTCCCTAATCAGAGACTCTGTGGTTTGTTTCCATTAGTCATATATTCCCAGGTGTTCTGCCTACTTGCTGCTACCCAGTGTCAGTTCACTCATCCAAAATTTTATAGAAAAACTTTGCTATTTGTTGTTCTATACTACTGACATTGCAGAACCTTCTCTAGATGGTTGTAAAGCATTTCTTACCCTTAAAGAATGAGCTAACTTCCATGTTCTGTAAATTTTCCCTAATCCACCTGCCTCTAAAAGAACATTTTTATGATACTGGGCTGTTGACCACTTGCCAAAGACTGAAATATCTTGTTCAGAAGAGCATTACATCTACTCATATCTAATATCTGCAGGAGTGTCTGTAATACTGGGCATGGGTAAATTAGGCCGAAGTTGTTTACACTTTCAGGAGCAGACATTCATGCATACCTTTGAAGAATTTAATGCATAGATATGCAATGTGCTTTACATGAAGATAGAATGTATGTATATGCAAAGATGTACACCTTGTAAAAGACTTTTTGCCCTGTGTTTGACACCATCTGGAATTATTGCAATCTGTGGTTTCGACTTAGAATTTGAGTCTTTCAGCTTAGAATTCAAGACTGAATGTATTCTACTGAAAAATAATGTGTTTTTTAAAAATATTCATCTTTTTAGATAACATGAATATAAAATAATGGCTAGTACAACAAATCCGAGTAGAACACCTGTATTCAGATTTGTGTTTGTCAAATCACTGTGTGAAAGGATGTATCTAGAGTCAGGTGTTGGGCGAACCTGATTTCCCTTACTAGTGCTTGGATTTTTCTGATCAAACATAAGCAGCAAAACATATTGCTTGATTTTGCTGCAAAGTCAGAAGGGCTAGAACCAAAAGAAATGAAATTCAGGGGGGTGGGTCTAGATTCCATTGCAGCAGTATTCGTGTGAGGTGCATTAACTTCTACTCTTTGAAGCAGGACTCAGCCTATGTCTTTGTATTGAACAGGTTTGGAGAGCTTGTTATAAAAGTTTCATTGGGTCCAGCTGCCAGGGGCTGTTTCCTTACAGCTCTTCCATGGTGTTGTATAAGGCTGGGACACGTGGGCTTAGCATGATCTCTGTAAACTGAGGAAGTTAATACCTTACTTAATCGGTTACTGAATATGTGGTTTTCCTGTACTGAAGAGTCAGGATGAGAGCATTCCTGTGCCGCAGAAGATACTAACCTTTCTCTGTAGGTTGTGTGCAGTTCGCTACAATCTACAAGGACACACACAGAGTTTTGCAATCAAGTGGTGAAACCAAACTGACTTCTGCATTTAGGGGCACAAATCCAGGACCGCTAGCACTGAAGTGCGACCACTGCAAACTCTAAAGGCTACCCGCGGCACCCGTGTGTCGATCGTCTCTCTGTGCCTTTCACACAACAAATGCCCAAAGCATCTTTCCCTCCCCGCCCCTGCTCCCCGCACGATGCCTGAGCCAAGACCTCGTTAAAGAAAACAATAATTTAATAAATAAATAAATAAATAAATAGTGTCGGTGGGACGGAGGACGGAGGGATGGGATCCCTTTCCTCTTCG